AATATTTAGGAGCCAATTTCAATTTGGAATTTCAGAAAAAATTAAAATAAATAACATTTTCGTAAAGATTAGAAAATTCCAACCTAATTTGATGTAATACACCCTACATCAATCATAAAATTCACTTTTAAAAGTATAGATGGCACCGCTTTTTTGTGTTTTGTTTTCGGCCATATTGATTTTTAAAAACAATGATATCTTGGGTGTTATAAAACTTAGATATGTCGAGTTTGGATTCATTTTTTTTAATACTCTAACGAAATATTTAGGAGCCAATTTCAATTTCGGATTTTATAAAAAATTAAAATAAATAAGATTTTCGTAAAGATCAGAAAATTCTAACCTAATTTGATGTATTACACCCTATATCAATTATAAAATTCACTTTTTAAAGTATAGATGGCACCGCTTTTTGGTGTTTTGTTTTCGGCCATCTTGATTTTATAAAAATAATGATATCTTGGGTGTTATAAGACTTAGATATGTCGAGTTTGGGCTCATATTTCATATTTTTTAATTTTCTAACTGAATATTTACGAATCAATTGTTTTGGGATTAATTTTGGATTTTGTCAGAAATAAAAAATCAAATTATCGCGAGTATTTTATGTTTATATGTTTTCTGTTGAAGGAAATGAAAAATTTTAATTTGTTGTTGATTTGAGTGTTGCAATAGGAATTGATTGCGGGCAAAGATGGGGTTATTATAATAAATTCGCTCATCGACATAAATAACTTTATCAAACGGTCGTTTGGTGCCATTTTATCACTGATTGGTGTCAGTGTTTTGTAAACATTTAGGCTATTTGTAATGTTTTTAGGTACGATTTGTCGTCTGTAAAATTGTTTTATCAATATTTGTGAGATCATCTTTACTTAAAGCTAAGAACTTGAAAAGAATTTTTCCCATGGTAATTTGTTATCGTTTTATTACAAATTAGAATGAAATGAAACTTGATATAAATGAATATTTTGAATGGTGATTGTGTTAAAATTTTAAAGCTATGTTTTTTTGATTGGATTTATAAGATTCTTCCATGCAATTTTCTCGTTTCATTTGCATTTAACATCAATTTAAATTTTATTCGTTAATTTATTAGAAAAAGAAAAATTCTTATGATAACCATAAAAAATATTTCCAGTAGTCTTTAAACGGGTAGATCTTCGTGTCTGATAAAGGTTTCTTGTCGGCTAATAATTCTCCCTAACCTCTCGTGTATATTCTTTACGATGTGCCGGACTTTTACCGTGGACGCTTCGGTTGCCTCCATAAATAAATATCAAAGACCGTCGAAAAAAATACCACGGATTCCGTTCCTAAACGAAAAATAATCTTACGGCCGCCTTTCACGATTTACGATCAACTGTCGCACAATTAGAAACTGATTAATTTTTACGTTTCTGCAAGAGGCTATCTTTCGAACCACCCGGACTACTCCGGGTATACTGGTGTATTAGAAAACGCTTTTTATTAAATTCCAAGAGACTTTAAGTCCGGTGCTATCGGACCCGACGTCGTCTCCATCGTCGTCGTCTCCGGGCAGCTCGCGGGGCCCCAGTTATTTATAATCCGGAATATTTAACTACAACTGTTAGTAATTTACGAGGTCAACGCGAGATTTATGGCACCGGATTCTTACGCGATACGGATTAAACATGAGCTCGTAGCCAGAAGAGAGAAAAAAGCTGATCCTTTTTTTATTCTTAAAAAATTTTTTCATTTTCTTTTCTACTTAAGTATATTACTCAAATTTTATTTGAAAATAATTATAAAATAAGTTTCGTTTTGGATAAAATCCAAAGGAGTTAATTTATTGGGTGAAACGTCATTCGGAAGACCACCACAACCGTTAAGTTACACCCAGAAGCGTCGTTTGAACGTGCGCGGCGTCGCGACGCCAGATCGTCGTATCCGCACGTCTGCGCACGAATCGGCCGTTTATAATTGGGTTTTGCACCTAGTACAGACTGAAAATAAACACAGAGCGTGGGTGTTCCCTAGATTATTTATCATCTACTACGAAAGATTCGCGCACGTTCATATTAGCTAAAATATACCGATTTCGGCCTTAACCACCATCTTCAGACGCATTATTTACATACTAATTTAAACGAAATGAGTAAAACCAACATAGTTCGTTATCTTCGATACAATCTAGCACACCTGAAGTAGAGAAATGATTAACATTACTAAGTACTGGGTCGTTTATTAGCTTTATTTATCGTTCGAAGGAAATGCCACGTTCTATAATCCATATTACGTAAATAAATGGTTACGATGGTAAAAGAAGGGAAAAAGTAAAGTTGCCTTATAAGAAGGAATGTTTGTTATTTCTAAAGGAAGAAATAGGGGTTTAAATGTTTCTTGAAGCGTAACAAATCCTGTTTAATAAGCTTTTGCACAATTTTAAACTTAATCAGTCACGCTTCCGAAATCATTGTTAACCAATTACTTAAACAAACACTTTATGGGAAGAATAGGATTTTCAAAGAAAACGAAATTCCTCTTACGCAACGGGTCGCCTTCTGAAGAAAACTGGCTTCTGATTAATGGGTGAGGTCCGAAAAGGATTCGGAGTCATGCTCGCAGTCATTGTCAATTAGAAGGCGGCAGAGTGCGATCCGCGGGTGCCCCCCCGGACTATATGACCCAAATCGGGGGGCTCCTCAGCTAACTCTCTTATTTTCACCTGTTGGCGCGGATGACAAATAGCTACGTTAAGAACAGATGTATAAATACCGAACGCGGCCCATAAATTAGCCGTGGCGAGCGCGCCGACTACGAGGAGCCTCTCTTCTTCCTGGGGGCACTCTGAGCTTTCTGTTATTCTCTCTTCTACATGCCGCAAAGATCTTGATACTGGAAAACGTGGGCGGCAGATTTATTCATACTCGCTTAAGAATCGTGTAGATATGTCTGGTGATTAGTAAAAGTAGATCGCAAAAATAAATGACAGCAAAAATTTTTCAAACTAAGTTTCGCAAAACTTGGTCTCTCGTTAAGTGTTTTTCAAGGAAATGTGAGATAGGGATTAGAGAACGACGTATTTGATCAAGGAAGAACACGACGGAAATCTTTCTAACTGTTAAATTAACTGTATATTCTTTGTTGATACGCATTAACTTTTTTCCCTATGGGTAATAATACATTCTTTACAATGGTCTATTAATATGCTATAAGTATAGAGACGTAAAAAAAACATTCCAAGTTTGTTTAAAAATATATTAATGGATTATGAAAATATGAAGTTTTAGCTTCAATTTGAGATATAATTCGTTTCTGAATTCCTATAAATAAAGCTGTAAGAATTATTTGAAATTTTAGCTAATTTATTAGTCCTATTTAAAAAAATCATTCCAGCTTAATTTATAAAAATACCTTCATGGACTATAAAAACATGAAGTTTTAGGTTTAATTTGAGATATAGTTTGTTTCTGAATTTTTATAAATAAAGCTGTAGGAATTATTTGAAATTTTAGCTATTTTATTGTAATTTTGAAATTAAGGAGAAAGTAATCGCGTTTAGATAAATCGTTCTATCTAAATTTATAAAAATTAACTAATACCTTCATGAACTATAAAAACATGAAGATTTAGGTTTAATTTGAGATATAGTTTGTTTCTGAATTCCTGTAAATAGAACTGTAGGAATTAGTTGAAATTTTAGCTAAATTATTGTAATTTTGAAATCAAAGAAAAAGTAATCGCATTTAAAAAAAAATCGTTCTAACTTAATTTATAAAAATACCTCCATGGACAATAAAAATATGAAGTTTTAGCTTCAATTTGAGATATCAGCTCGTTTCTGAATTCCTGTAAATAAAGCTGTAGGAATTAATTGAAATTTTAGCTAATTTATTGAAATTTTGAAATGAAGGAAAAAGTAGTCCTATTTAAAAAAATCATTCCAGCTTAATTTATAAAAATACCTTCATGGACTATAAAAACATGAAGTTTTAGGTTTAATTTGAGATATAGCTCGTTTCTGAATTCTTATAAATAAAGCTGTAGGAATTATTTGAAATTTTAGCTAATTTATTGTAATTTTGAAATCAAGGGAAAAGTAATCGCATTTAAAAAAAATCATTCCAACTTAATTTATAAAAATACCTTCATGGACTATAAAAATATGAAGTTTTAGCTTCAATTTGAGATATAGCTCGTTTCTGAATTCCTGTAAATAAAGCTGTAGGAATTAATTGAAATTTTAGCTAATTTATTGAAATTTTGAAATGAAGGAAAAAGTAGTCCTATTTAAAAAAAATCATTCCAGCTTAATTTATAAAAATACCTTCATGGACTATAAAAACATGAAGTTTTAGGTTTAATTTGAGATATAGCTCGTTTCTGAATTCTTATAAATAAAGCTGTAGGAATTATTTGAAATTTTAGCTAATTTATTGTAATTTTGAAATCAAGGGAAAAGTAATCGCATTTAAAAAAAATCATTCCAACTTAATTTATAAAAATACCTTCATGGACTATAAAAATATGAAGTTTTAGCTTCAATTTGAGATATAGCTCGTTTCTGAATTCCTGTAAATAAAGCTGTAGGAATTAATTGAAATTTTAGCTAATTTATTGAAATTTTGAAATGAAGGAAAAAGTAGTCCTATTTAAAACAATCATTCCAGCTTAATTTATAAAAATACCTTCATGGACTATAAAAACATGAAGTTTTAGCTTTAATTTGAGATATAGCTCGTTTCTGAATTCTTATAAATAAAGCTGTAGGAATTATTTGAAATTTTAGCTAATTTATTGTAATTTTGAAACCAAGGAAAAAGTAATCGCATTTAAAACAATCATTCTAACTAAATTTATAAAAATTAACTAATACCTTCATGGACTATAAAAATATGAAGTTTTATCTTCAATCTGAGATAAAAATCGTTTCTGAATATCTGTAAATAAAGCTGTAGGAATTATTTGAAATTTTATCTAACGTTTTATTTTTACTTGTATAATATTTTTGAATTAATTCATGATTAATTTTTTAGGTACCGTGAATGCAAATGGAGAGACAAAGAGACAAAGAACATCATATACCAGGTACCAAACATTGGAATTGGAGAAAGAGTTTCATTTCAATAGATACTTGACCAGAAGACGAAGAATTGAAATAGCCCACGCACTGTGTCTTACCGAGAGGCAGATAAAGATTTGGTTCCAAAACAGGAGGATGAAGTGGAAGAAGGAACATAAGATGGCCAGTATGAATATCGTTCCATACCATATGTCCCCGTACGGGCATCCCTATCAGTTCGATTTGCATCCTAGCCAGTTTGCTCATCTTGCCACTTAACTAGAGTGGAACATTTAAAATGATAGCGATGTGTATATATTATAGGTATTTTATTTATTTTTTTATTTATTTTCTTTTTTTTTTCATTTTTATATATATTTTTTGTTAACTTTTTGTTTTCCTTTTAAGTCCTGCAAAATACAAATTCGGAATTATACAGGGATCAATTACTTCTTAGGAATCATAGTTTTAGATGTTTGCGCAAAAAGAATCTTCTGGAAAAGTGTATTGTTGTATTCAAAAATTTGTCGGTTGCCAAAAAGACGTAACGTTGGGATCGTTTCCAACGATCTGTTAAGTAAGTGCCGGTAGGACCTGGTCCATTTCTCACGTTATGTACTCGCCTCTTTGTTTGACAGGCGCGGGGTAAATGCGATTTGTTATACAGACGCTCCAGGTAAATGATTTGGAGCAAGATGGTACCTATTAATATTATTTTTCGCGACGCCGGGGACTTGCTTAATACCCAAATGGCCACAAGCCAAAACGGAAGAATTTAAGATTTAGAATAATATTCACTTTTCCAAGTTAATTTCTTTTAATCATTAAAACATACCTCTCATCCCCCAAATATTAATCATCTAATCAGCTAAAAAAGAAGCTGACAATTATTGATAAAACTTCTATTGGTTTTGCAGATTTCCATTTGGCATCACTGCAAGATGAAGGTTACGCCTTCCATCAAGCCATGGGGATGGGAGGTATGGGACCCATGCAACGTGGTCTCTACGCTTGCGGAAGTCCGTACAGTTAGCCATGGGCCACCTATAACGGAGACTGCGGACCATCGTAGGGTCACAATCGGATCAACACGCAGTCTTCGGCCTGTGATAACACAAGATGGATCGAAAATTTCGAAGAAAATCGACCCACTTTGTGACTTACCACAGGTTTTATTACTACGAAGAAAAAAGTTAAATCAATTATTAAACCAAAAGTGACCAGAAATTATATTTTCAATAAATTTCTTTAATGGGACGCTTTAAAAAACTGAAAAGTTAAATTAAACGAAGAAAGACCAATAAGTTTTTAGTGTTCTGTGATTTTTGTCTGTTTTTTTTTATTTTGAGGGGCACTGATTTTGATTAAAAAGTAATAATAAAAGCGTGAAGTGCAATAATTAAAAAGAAAAACGCTGTTTTTAAAACTTTCTACTTATTAAATGATTACTACTTGTTACTTTTATTTTTTTGCGAAAAAAATGTTTTTGTTTCTTAATTTATTGTTATTAAAACGAAAAAAAAAATAAAACTTAGAGAGATGGACTATTATACTGAGAACAAAGTGTGATTTAAACGAAAAGAAAAATTAAAATTAAAAATATAGATTATACCTGGTATATAAATACTATAAATACTATAAATAGATAGTGTTGTACATAATTGAAAGCGAAAAAATATAATAATAGTTAGATTATTAATGAAAATAATTATACAGTTTCACGACAGCCACTATTATTACTGATTAATTAAATTAAAAATGTAAGAAATAAATATTAATATAATAAAGAAATAATTTTTGTAAATAAACACCTTAATAAAGTTATTTAAAAAAAAAATCTTTCAAACTTGTAATTGTAAAATGGTATTTGTAAAGAAAAAATGATTCAAAAAAAAATTAGTTATACGAAAATTATGAAAAAAAAATCTTTTTGGCACGATGCGTGGTTTTTATTCAATAAAAAAGAACCGATTTTGTGTCACATCCCCCTATATATATATAATATATATAATAAAAAATATATCGTAATACCGTACTGATGATGATGATGATATTCAATGTAATAACTTGTAATATATTGTGTATAAATGTTGTACGAAAAAACAACTTTAATTATTAATTAATTAAAACGAGATAGCTCAAATATCGTTCATTCGACATTCTGATTATTAATTATTATTATTATTAATATTATTTGTTCTTTTTTTTTCGATTTTTATTTATGTCTTTGTACCGTGAGTGTGTATAAAAAAAATTAAAAACGAGCGCGTATGTCAATAAGAGAATGAAAGAGAGTTTAGATGAGTAGAAGAAATTTCGTGATCGAAATTAATTCGAATGCGATCCCTTAATATTACTGTTGTAATTTGTCCATACAGAATAAAAATATTAAAAATTACATCTAGTTATATTTATTCCTATTTTCCACTATCCCTGCTTTGTTCTGACTTTGAATTATTGTCAAACAAGTAGTTTTGAAGTTTCTTTACGTCTTTGTTGTTATATAAGTTATATTATTACCAATACAACACCTAATTTTAGAAAAAAATAAATAAGACATTACAAAAAATTGCTAAAATATTCGAGAACGCAATGACTTAGTGTATACCAAATAAGGATGCAGAGTAAACTATTTGATGAAAAATATGTATAATATAAGCGAAAATGTACATGCCTTATATCTCACAGATATTACGAGTCCTTCAAGATAAGACATAGCTAAAAACTGAGAGCAGAAGACTAGATATTGCTTGCAGAACACTACTTCCTGCTCTCAAAAAGCTGAAAGTTAGATACTATTGGTAAATGACTTGGTACTATTCGCAAAAGTCTAAGTAATGGTGATAGAAAATTACATATCTCATGCATAGGCCCACTTAATGCTTGCAGAAGATTAGATACTATTTGAAAAAGTCTAAACACTGCAGAAAATTGTTTTTGCCGATGGAAGACTAAAAACTATGTGTTGAAAACTATATATCGGTGTCAGAAAATTAAATACTGCTAATAACTTGATACTATTCGCAGAAATCTAGGCAATGCTAATAGAAAATTACATATCTCTAGCAGAGGCCCACTTAATACTTTCAAAGTATTAGATACTGCTTATGAACTAATAGATTCTCCTTACTGTCAATGGAAAACTAAACGCTGTGTGTTGAAGTCTATACATTGCTGACTGAAGTTTGAATTATGTCAATGAAAAACTAGATCTTCCTTATCAAAGTATAAGTACTGACAAAAGATTAGACACTGTTACATTACATTACATTTCCTAGACTACCGTGCAGTTCAATGTTCTTAACGAACATTAATACCTTGCTCGGTGAAAGGTCATTCAGATCCTTTGAGGAGATAAACTGCGACCCAAAAATCGAGAATCTGATACGGTTAACAGCAGGGCAGTGGCATAAAACATGCTCAACCGTCTCTATTTAGTCCACACATAGTCAGCATTCAATATTGTCGGCTAAACCCAACAAGTTGAGGTGTGCTTTTAATCGGCAATGCCCAGTAAAGACACTCATTAGAACTTTTATGCTGCTACGAGTAAGTCCTAAAATTTTCCTGGGTTTGACATAATAAACATCTTAGCATGTCTCATTCCAGGAGAACTAGTCCATAGTAAGGGAAATCTCTTTTCAGTCCAATCCTATATTTGGTTATCGCAAGTGATACACCAACTGCTGGTTCCAGTCTAACAAATGCTTTAGCGCTGTCCTCTCGTGTTAGCTCATTTACCGCTTCATTGCCAGCAACCCCAGAGTGACCGGGGACCCAGATCAGAGAAACTTTGTTAGTAAAATTCGTACTGTCATGTTCTTCGCTCCTCTCTCAAGAAGGATTTTAGCACCCATGTCAATAGCAAATTCTTCCGGCGTTTTTGACCCATCTGTGAACATACAAATATCTGCCTGAACTAGAGAATTTTCATTTTCGATTCAGGACTGCCGCTCAGGCAGTACAATCTGGTATTGAGCATTAACTGATAGTGATCCAGCCAAATCTGACGGCATTGATAGCAGACTATCAGTGCTTATGTCTTCTGCAGCCCATTGGTAGGACATGTTGGACACTTTCTCTATATGCAAATGCAGAGGAGATAAGCCAAGCAGAACCTCTATTGCTAGAGTTGGCGTTGAGCTTACCGCACCAGAGATTTCCAATCCTGCTACCCGTTGAATTCGTGAAAGTTTACTTATAAATGAAGTCTGTCGGACTTTTCTATACCAGGCTGCTGCTTGATTATAAGTCTAATCACAGTCACATAGAGTCAGTACAGTCTTTCGAGGGTAAGACCCCAATTTTTTCCACAAAGACTGCGACAAGTCCACAAGGATAGTCTAGCTTTGTGCAAAACTTCCTGCAAATATCCATTCCATGACAAGGTTTTGTCTAGGATTACTCCTAGATATTTCTTGGATAGTTGTGCGGATTAATCCATCCAACTTTTGTTTCCTGGTGGAGGGCACAGCAATTTTCTTTTGCGGGTTTATCGAGAGGTTCTCTCCTTTACAACAAGCGCAAATGGTATCTGGGATCACCTGGAGAACTAGATACTGTTAATACAAGACTGGATATTGCCTCTTATGGAAGACTAATTGCTTGTAGAGAATAAAACTATGTATTGGTGACAAAAGTCTAGATCCTTTCAATACGAACTTTTCAAACTGAGATAAAAAACTACCACTTTTCTAGCCATAAAGTAATCAATATAAGCATCCAGCCCAACTTGAAGTCGTAATGAAATTTTTTGTAATTCGCTACGGTAATGCAAGCTATAACAGTACTCAAACGGAATGAGATTTTAGTAACATTTTATGGAACCAGTTCAAGTTGGTCACATTGGGTCATTAATTTTTCTAGTTGTCAATGTGACAATGTTTATCTATGGATGTTTAAACACGTTCTTAGCATCGAATACAAGGTCCACAATGATGAGGACATTGAACTCTGAGCAATTTCTCTTATTTTGGGAGGTATACATGAAACATTTTTGTCAGGTGAATACATTTTGTGTTTTGACAGTTTCTAATTGTCAATTTCTATTTTCAAGTGTTACGGTGTTACCAACTGCTACATACCTATTTCCCTACATTGTCAAAATTTATTTTATTTTTGAGAAAAAAAAGGATAAAAACGCGAATTACAAAAAATAGCATAAAAAACACGTTTCATAAGACTTAAAGCACTCATTCAACTTGAATTCGTGCATTTCAAACGTGTCTTACGAAACTTGTTTTTTAATATACTATTATCATTTAATAATTTGTTATAAACATAAAACTTATCTAATATCGATAAATAGAAAAAAAAATATATAGTTTAATTAAAAATAGGTTAAAACATTCACAATAAATAATAATAAACAAGATCTTTAGGAATGAAGAAGCTTTAAATCTTTTGACAAGAACAGATTGATATCAATCATCTGAACCGAAGGCAATCAACGTTCAACGTACATCATCAGCCGGTTTGTAGGGGGAGTTTAAATAGAATTTAATTCATAATCAGGTGTCATTCATGTACTACGTCATTAATCTCGCGTGGGGTGCCTCCAAAGATCTTCTTTGTCTAAAAGTCGTCGTCGACTTTTAACACTATGTAGGTAAGAAAACGTGTCTCAAAAATTATTAATCAATTCAGACACTGTAAAGAATGTTAAAAAAAAATGGTAAAAATTGAGATAATTTAAATCTGTCTTATTGTTTGTGTTAAGTAAATGAAAAGAAGATCCTAAATCACTACAAATTCCCATATAAACATCTCAATTCCGTTATTTGAACGAAAGGCCGTAGTATTTTCTCTGTTTGAACGCATTGGGACAGGTGACAGGACGTTCACCGATACAAATACGAACTCGCATCACTTTGTATGCAAATTTTAAAAGGATTTTATACCGGCGGCCGGACCTCGCTAAGAGTGATTCAAAACGATTGACAAAGACGTCTCTCTTTCTCTCCCGCGTTGCGAAATCGCAAAAGACGACATCTTCGAGGACGCGACCAACTCTATTTTGACGGCTGACCACCGTGCGTTTAGGTCCCTTTTGCTCCGGTTTTAAACGTGCGTCTCTGATATTTGCATAAAAAGACGTATGTCGTATGCAAAGTTATGCAGAAAAGTTTTTTCGAAAAAAAACGACTGATTTAAATAGATTTTTTTTGAAAAAATTATTCTTTTATGAAATTAAATAAATTAATTTTGATTTGAATTGATTTTTTCGAGGTGGAGATCTATGGGAAAATGGTTAAAGTTTGGGTTTGTTTGAAATAAAAGTTTTCTGTAGAATCTAGGGAGCTATAAGATGGATTTAAAGCTTTTCAATTTGAAGGGTCTTTTAAAAGTGAGATGGCGCTGTTACAAAATTAGTTTCATTTTGAAATTAATTTTTATATAGCAACTTAAAAATGAGATTTTTGCTGAATATAACTTTTTGTTTTAATGTAAAATTGTGAAAATTTGTTTTTAAATTGTGTTTATTTTTAGTTTAGATGTTTTTTTTTGAGTTATTACCTGGTTTGAAAAGTGGTGCCGTTGAAAAAAATAAACTTTACAAATCACGAAAAGAATCAAAGAACGAAAAGTCGAAAGAAAGAGGTTTTTAGGGGCTGAACCCTCGGGTAGTGTCAACCCGTAAGGTTTATGACCCAGTATTAGCTGTCTCCAATAATAATTTATGGTAATGGCAAACGGCACGCCTGGACGTTATAGGGCCTCCTCTATAGAACGGGAGAGTTTTAGGGTACCCCGGCACCGGGCCTCGACAGTTGGCACCCAGACATTGTGCAATGTGGACGACTACGACACCAAACCGATTTTCAACAATTTTCAACAAATCGTTTTTATTTTTAGTTGTGCACACAACAATTTTATTATTCAAATTCTCAAAAACGAGTATTATTTCTCAAAAAATCGGATTTTGATTTGTTTTGTGTTTTCGAAAATGTTTTGAAGTGAGCTGAAACTCAAATTATTCAGGTTTGAAGGTAAGTAAGGCAATTTTGATCATTTTTGTCCGCATTTATTTTTGCTTTAAAATTTGGTGAAATTATTTGGCGCCATTTTTTGATTAACCCATCTCACTCCGAACCCCCCCTAAACCAAGACCATCTTGACTGAGCGTGCGTAGTTCTCATTTTTGAATCAATAATTCCAACCAATTCCAAATCTACCCTTCACCATCCCTTTCACAATTTCAAACATTTCATTTTATTTCTAAATTTATCAATAAGTAAATTTATTTTGATATTTTAAGAAAATGAAAATATATTTTGAAACAAAAACGAAAATCGTCCCAAGAAAATGATTTATCATCGTAGTTAATTCAAAGTGGACGGATAAAACCGCATTTATTTTCGGGGGGGCGCGTAAACACGGAAAATACAGGGTGGGGCTTAACCCATTTGGAATCGAGCCCACGATAACTTGGCGTCGTTCGTCGCTTTCACAGATCACAATAAGATTTTGTGCTCGATTGCTCGCTTTATAGAAAGATAGATGACTATTTTGTTTTGTCCTAAAATCTTATAGTTTCCAGAAAAAAATTTAAAAATTAAATAATTAATTTTAATAAGTCGTGTTTTCGAAATTAACATACATGAATATTTAACATGGGTAACAGATGGTGAAAGAATCATCACCTGGTCTTTAAATAATTACCTTTTTTTTGTAATTTTCAAAATAACTAACAATAAGATATAAATTTAATTAATTTAGAAATTAAGAAACAGTTTGATTATTACAATCGATCTTAAGATGTGGTTGGATTTTACACACGCTGTAATTATATAACCGAGCCCATAATGGCGTTACATCGAGCATGACGCTCCCAGTAACCTCTACACACCAACGGTCATGACCTTTCGTTTATAAGGTTAAAAAATTAAATTAGACGAAGTGTTACCACATTTTTAATTTCTAAGTAATGCATCAAAATTCTTTGAATTTAGAGGAATATCGTTAATCTTCGTTTATTTATTATAATCGGATAAACAAAGAGCTTTTATATTTCAACAAAAAACTTAATTTAGCGAGGAGACTACCGACATATCTTAAATAACTTCACGGTCAAAGAAGGCCATGTCCAAAACCTGTTCGGTCACAGCCACCTAGTTAAAAGAAACACTTCCCGCTTACTTTGATCATTTTACATTTTACGATACTTAATCCAAATTTTATCCGGATTATTACTTAATTTGTATATTTATGCAACATTTAGACAAATTTTTAAATCACCATATCATAAAAATTAATTCGTTGTAGCTTAAATTGTTGCATTAAGTTGCATAATTGTCATTTTTAAAATTTCTACTGCATTTGCTTTATCTCTTTCAAATACGATGATGCCTGCAAGGCGAAGTGATTATAAACGATTTATTATTCAAATGTTGTACTTTTAGTTCATTTTCCAAGACATCAAATATCGTTCATTTGATCCAGTACAAATGTATATATATCATTTAATATCGCCGAGGTCGCTTGCGGGCGAGGCGCTACATCTGATAGTTTATACTACCTTTATGTTGATATAATTAAAAGTGAAAATATATTAAAATGTAATGTGCTTGCTTTACTTTTTACAACATCAAATGATATCATCTTATATCGCCGAGGTCGCTTGCGGGCGAGGCGCTACAATCTTCCAAAGCTGACGATTTCGTGTGTATATGTTAAATCCGGCGCCTCGGGTACAAGAAGCAACCTCGGCGAAATGTGGGTAAATGTCTTCTTATAAAAGACTCTGTATCTTTGCCAGATTTAATATATTATAACGAAATCGTCAGTTTTGGAGCATTAATCTACCTGAGCGAAAGATGGTCTTATTCATGTATTACGTATTTGGTTCACTTTTCAAACCATCAAATGAACGATTTCATCTAATATCGCCAAGGTCACTTGCGAGCGAGGGGCTAGATTTGATACGTTAATACGAAATCGTCATTTTTGAAGTATTCTAGCGCCTCGCCCGCAAGCGACCTCGGCGAAGTGACGATAAACGATGTTTTATTATTCACTTTTTAAGACATCAAATGAATTTTCAAATTTCAACCAGCGATTTTTAAAAATTTTTATGAAAAAAATCGATAATCGCGCTTCCTTAAAACTTGGTACAACCTAAGCTCAAACATTCTTTTACAATATTAGGAAGTTTTATTCTTTTATTCCAAATGGTTTTGGAAAAAAAGTTGTTTTTGTTGATTGCTTCTTTAAAAACCATCAAAATCAAATCGGCGATATTTAAAAATTTTTAGAAAAAGATCGGCTCACCCTGTATTCTTAAAATTTGGTAGAATCTAAGCTCAAACATTCTTTTACAATATTAAAAAGTTGTATTCTTTAATTCAAAACCGTTTTGGAAAAAAAATGTTTTTGTTGACCACTACTTTAAAAACCGTCAAATTCAAAGAAACGATTTAGATCTGCTCATTCTAGAATCCTAAAATTTGGTACAACCTAAGCTCAAACATTCTTTTACAATATTAAAAAGGTTTTATTCTTTAATTCCAAACCGTTTTGGAAAAAAAATTGTTTTTGTTGACCACATCTTTAAAAACCGTCAAATTCAAAGAAACGATTTTTAAAAATTTTTATAAAAGATCTGCTTATTCTAGAATCCTAAAATTTGGTACAACCTAAGCTCAAACATTCTTTTACAAGATTAAAAAGTTTTATTCTTTAATTCCAAACAGTTTTAGAAAAAGATTGTTTTTGTTGACCACATCTTTAAAAACCGTCAAATTCAAGACAGCGATTTTTAAAATTGTTTATAAAAAGATCTGCTCATCCTGAAATCTTTAAATTTGGTACAATCTAAGTTCAAACATTCTTTTACAACATTAAAAAGTTGTATACTTTAATTCCAAACCGTTTTGGAAAAAAAATTGTTTTTGTTGACCACTACTTTAAAAACCGTCAAATTCAAAGAAACGACTTTTAAAAATTTTTATAAAAAGATCTGCTTATTCTAGAATCCTAAAATTTGGTACAACCTAAGCTCAAGCATTCTTTTACAATATTAAAAAGTTTTATTCTTTAATTCCAAACGGTTTTGGAAAAAAAATTGTTTTTGTTGACCACTACTTTAAAAACCGTCAAATTCAAAGAAAGGATTTTTAAAAATTTTTATAAAAAGATCTGCTCATTCTAGAATCCTAAAATTTGGTACAACCTAAGCTCAAACACTCTTTTACAACATTAAAAAGTTGTATTCTTTAATTATAAACCGTTTTGGAAAAAAAATTGATTTTCTTGATCATTACTTTAAAAACCGTCAAATTCAAACAAACGATTTTTAAAAATTTTTATAAAAAGATCTGCTTATTCTAGAATCCTAAAATTTGGTACAACCTAAGCTCAAGCATTCTTTTACAATATTAAAAAGTTTTATTCTTTAATTCCAAACCGTTTTAGAAAAAGATTGTTTTTGTTGGCCACATCTTTAAAAACCGTCAAATTCAAGACAGCGATTTTTAAATTTTTTTATAAAAAGATCTGCTTATTCTAGAATCCTAAAATTTGGTACAACCTAAGCTCAAACATTCCTTTACAACATTAAAAAGTTGTATTCTTTAATTCCAAACCGTTTTGGAAAAAAAAATTGTTTTTGTTGACCACTACTTTAAAAACTGTCAAATTCAAACGAGCGATTTTAAAATTTTTTTATAAAAAGATCTGCTTATTATAGAATCCTAAAATTTGGTACAACCTAAGCTCAAACATTCTTTTACAACAATAAAAAGTTGTATTCTTTAATTCAAAACCGTTTTGGAAAAAAAAAATGTTTATGTTGACCACTACTTTAAAAACCGTCAAATTCAAAGAAACGATTTTTAAAAATTTTTATAAAAAGATCTGCTTATTCTAGAATCCTAAAATTTGGTACAACCTAAGCTCAAACATTCCTTTACAACAATAAAAAGTTGTATTCTTTAATTCAAAACCGTTTTGGAAAAAAAAATTGTTTATGTTGACCACTACTTTAAAAACCGTCAAATTCAAACAAACGATTTTTAAAAATTTTTATAAAAAGATCTGCTCATTCTAAAATCCTAAAATTTGGTACAACCTAAGCTCAAACATTCTTTTACAACATTAAAAAGTTGTATTCTTTAATTCCAAACCGCTTTGGAAAAAGAATTGTTTTTGTTGACCACTACTTTAAAAACTGTCAAATTCAAACGAGCGATTTTAAATTTTTTTTTAAAAAGGTCTGCTTATTCTAGAATCCTAAAATTTGGTACAACCTAAGCTCAAACAGTTTTTTTACAATATTAAGAAGGTTTATTCTTTTATTCCAAACAGTTTGGGGGAAAAAATTTTTTTCTTCAAAAACAAATTCAAAAAGAAATCCTTAAAATTTAAGAAAATTCTTCTAAGCTTAAATACGAAGCGAAACAAGAGCTTTTTTTATATCAAATTGAAGCTAAAAGTATTCTTTTTCAAGTGATATCATGCTATCTATACAACACTTTTAGGCACAATTTTACCGATAAATTTAACCGATAGATAATTACCATGGTTACAGCGGTTTTAAGCGCTCTCATTGGCTAAGGCCCACTTTTACCACCTCTTGATAAATTTAACCGATAGATAATTACCATGGTTACAGCGGTTTTAAGCGCTCTCATTGGCTCAGAGCGTCAATTTATCTACCGGTTAAATTTATTAAGAGGTAGTAAAAGTGGACCTTAATGATTTTATTTTAAATTATGTTAACAAATATTGCAACTTAATGTAAAAAACATAATTGTCAACTTTAAAACGTTGTGTTGAGCTTAAATATGATAATAAAGAAATGATTTTTATATCATATTACAGATAAGAGAATTCTCTTTAAAATGATATAAAATATTTACTATATCATTTCAAATGTTCAAAAATGATTGCTATTAATATTAAGTATAACTAATATTACTGGCGTTTTAATTCTGGTACTTCACGTTTGGCAGGAATCCTGCACATGCACAATTTGAATGGTTAATTTTAGAGGCGTTAGTGATGTTAATAATATAAAATGTGTTATATTTGGGTCAAATAGTGTGGGAAAGCTTGTTTTAACCTTAACCATGAACGAAAGTAATACAAAAATCAATAATCACCAAGTAACTTAATCGGGACACGAAATATCTACAAAATGAGTTAAAATAATAGTCAACATTTCAATTCTTGTTTTTGTTGAAATCTAAAACTAAATCTCGAGTACATTGAAGTTTTATTTTTGATTTTTTTCCTAAACAGTTTTTGAAAAGTTCAGTAACAACGGCTAGGGTAGCTGCCAAATTAATTTATGGTCTGACTTGTGTCGAAAAGTTCCCTCTGAACAATGCTCTTAGTTCGAGTCCTTTTTCGAAAACTTTCGTTCCCCATAGATCTCAGGTTGCCGTTTCTTTTATTTCTTCTCTTTTACGACCTTTTTTGTATTAGACACAAAAGAATCGAAAAAAAAAGCATAAAAAATATTTGTGCTACATAGTTCGAAATGAAGAGAGCCAAGTAGATGAGATCACGGTTTATTTTTGGTTCGTGGGAGCAACGGCGGGCGGTGACGATTGCTGCGACAGCGGGGATGTTGTATCATAAATCGGTCCATCCTACTTTGAATAAATTGTCCGGGCCATTTTCATAAAGCCGTCGCGACACGTTACATTTCTACTGTATCATTACGTTATGTATGAATAAAAACGAGCACGAGAGACGAGGAACGGATTAACGTTGTGCTATTAACCTAGGTCAGGCACCAGGTAAACGCCAAGTCATCATCTTTATAGCAATGCCCTCGATTTTCAAGTCAAGTCAAGTCAAGTCAACAGATGTGGGAAGGTCAAGAAAGATTATATATAAAATTTTTCTCAATTATGTTAGAATTCTTAGAATAGAGAATTTTATAAAGTTTGCAACCGGGCAATCTAAAAATACACTTTATCGTGCTGCATAAATCCCCTTTATGTCTCCCCTAAGGATCGTTTTGTTTACTACCCAATTCTACTACCATATTTCCACCCCCGATCCTCCTACATAAACTAATCCCGATATAGCCCATAACAATAAGATATCAACTAGTTTTTGTTTTAAAATGATTTCGTTTCTTTCAAGGAGAATTCAAGATATCTTCCCCGGGACTTTTTATCAAACCCCAAAATCCAGGGTTTGGTTTTCGCCGTTCAGACTCTCCAAAGTCTAGGTCATCCACGCAGCATTTCGGTGCTCCACGCAGGATCCCGTCCTTTCCCGGCGGAGCTTCCCCTGGTGGTGGCGGGTGGGGCGTTTTCGAGTCCGGGATCCGGGACGTGCGGAGAGTCGGGCGAAACGGGGCGTCGAACGGATCGATCGAGGCAGCAGCAGCAGCAGCAGGCAACATGATTCCCCCACATTGACCCCACCCCTCCTTTAGGATTCCCCGCGCATCCCGGAATCCCGCGGGCTCCTCTCCGCGCGTTTCATCCCCCTACGAACACCGTCGACGTCGACCGTGACACCAGCCCACCACCATCAACTCCATCAGAAGAACAGTTCTCTCGTCTGTCCTGTCAACGCTGATTTCAGATTTTCTTAATATTTATTTAAAGAACGAAGACTTCTTTTGAAAAGAATTCAAAGGTAATTTTAAATTTATTCTAAAAAATAATTCTACTTATTGTATAAAATTAATATTTTTCTTTCATTTCAGGTTATCGATTTAAATATGTTTAATTTTGTAATAGAAAATACAGTTAATAGTGCATAAAACGCCGACGAAAGTAATAAATGGCATCTGTGGCAAAAGCGATTCGGTAAAACGTAAATAGCAGTAAATACAGGTCGATTTTGATCGCGATAAGCTTCGGATTGACCATTAATTCCTCCCCGGGTCTCAATTGGAAGTAGTTTCACATCGAGTAGAAATTCAATTTTCCAATGCCGGCGTTGAATTTCAACTAGGAATACCGGGTAATGTCGGAAGTCGACCGTTTGAATGGAATACAAAATAGTTTGGTTTTGCTACTTAAACCTTACTTGCAAAAAATAGAAAAAAAATCGGTTTAAAATGTAAGTTTTACTGTTTTAGGGTGAAGTTTTTTAAAAGTACTTTAAAAATTATATAGGAATGTTGAGTGATTTTAATAAACTTGGGTTCGAAGTCGATTAAGATGATAAAAGTTATGAAATGTATTTCTCCTTGGATCAATATCTCGGGAACTATTCGTAAAAATTTATTATTATTAAGTTTATTAGAATTATTCAGCATTTTTAAACAATATTTAATAATACAAAAAGTTTCGATTTTGATTCGTTTGGAAGAACGCGATATTTTTAAGCAACCTTAAATTTTGAGGTATTATTTCATTTGATTCGCAATTTCTCCTAAACTATGAATTACCCAAAAATATCATATATACAAAAATTATTTAGAATTCTTAGCTGATTTTAACAAACTTAACCGCAATTCTTTACATGGCTTAGTTTCCAAGATATTAATACTTTAAAATGTGTATTAAGAAAAATTTTTAAAAATCACCTAAATCATCATAATATCTTTATAGGTCGAAATCTCGAGAATAATTCGCAAAAATTAATTATAATTAAATTTATTAGAATTATTCAGCATTTTTAAACAATATTTAATAATACAAAAAGTTTCGATTTTGATTCGTTTGGAAGAACGCGATATTTTTAAGCAACCTTAAATTTTGGGGTTTATTTCATTTGATTTGCAATTTCTCCTAAACTATGAATTACCCAAAAATATCATATATACAAAAATTATTTAGAATTCTTGGCTGATTGTAACAAACTTAACCGCATTTCTTTACATGATTTAGTTTCCGAGATATTAATACTTTAAAATGTATATTAAGAAACATTTTTAAAAATCACTTAAATCATCATAATATCTTTATAGGTCGAAATCTCGAGAATTATTTGCAAAAACTAATTATAATTAAATTTATTAGAATTATTCGGCATTTTTAACCAATATTTAATAATATAAAAAGTTTCGATTTTGATTCGTTTGGGAGAACGCGATATTTTTAAGCAACCTTAAATTTTGGGGTTTATTTCATTTGATTTGCAATTTCTCCTAAACTATGAATTACCCAAAAATATCATATATACAAAAATTATTTAGAATTCTTAGCTGATTTTAACAAACTTAACCGCAATTCTTTACATGGCTTAGTTTCCAAGATATTAATACTTTAAAATGTGTATTAAGAAAAATTTTTAAAAATCACCTAAATCATCATAATATCTTTATAGGTCGAAATCTCGAGAATAAATTCGCAAAAATATCATATATACAAAAATTATTTAGAATTCTTAGCTGATTTTAACAAACTTAACCGCAATTCTTTACATGGCTTAGTTTCCGAGATATTAATACTTAAAAATGTGTATTAAGAAAAATTTTTAAAAATCACTTAAATCATCGTAATATCTTTATGGGTCGAAATCTCGAGAATAATTTGCAAAAACTAATTATAATTAAATTTATTAGAATTACTCAGCATTTTTAAACAATATTTAATAACATAAAAAGTTTCGATTTTGATTCGTTTGGGAGCACGCGACATTTTTAAGCAACCTTACATTTTGAGGTATTATTTCATTTGATTCGCAATTTCTCCTAAACTATGAATTACCCAAAAATATCATATATACAAAAATTATTTAGAATTCTTAGCTGATTTTAACAAACTTAACCGCATTTCTTTACATGCTTTAGTTCCCAAGATATTAATATTTAAAAATGTGTATTAAGTCATAATATCTTAGTGGGTCGATATTTCGGGAATGATTCGCAAAAACTAATTATAATAATGTTTATTGCAATTATTCAGCATTTTTAAACAATATTTAATAATACAAAAAGTTTCGATTTTGATTCGTTTGGGAGAAATCGCGACATTTTTAATGCAACTTTAAATTTTGGAGTATTGATTCATTTCTCCTAAACTATAAGTGACTCAAAATTTTTCATATTACAAAAATTATTTAAAAATGTTGAGTGATTTAATCAAACTTAACCGCATTTCTTTATATGGATTAGTTTCCAAGATAATAATATTTGAAATATATTTGTGGGTAATTCGCAAAAATTAATCATAATAATGTTTATTGGAGCTATTCAATATATTTAAACAAAACGTAATAATATGAAAACTTTCGAATTTGGTTCGTTTGAGAGAAATCGCGTTATTTATAGTAATCTCCAAGTTTGGGTTGTTTCATTTCACTCGCAATTTCTCCTAAACTATGAGTAATTCAAAAATTTTATATGTACATAAATTATTTAGAAATGTTGGCTGATTTGAATAAACTTAATCGTATTTCTTAATGCTTTAAAATGTAACGATTAAAATATGTTTTTTAAATTTACCAAAACTTTTCGGAATAATATCTTTGTGGGTCCATATCTTAGAAACGATTCGAAGAAATAAATTCCGGTTAAATTTATCGGAATCGTTCAACAATTTTAAATAATTTTTAATAATTCGATAATTTTATAATTTGTTTCGTTTGGGAGAAATTGCGAGTTAAATGAAGCAACCTCAAACAAAGTGGGTTGATTCATTTAACCCGCGATATCTCCCGAACTATAAATAATTCGAATTTTTTTATATTTACTAAAATTATGTAGAATTCTTCGGTGATTTTAATAAATTTTGCCGCAACTTTTTTTATCAAACGCTCCCCGAGATATAAACAAATACAATTGACGTTTAGTACTCAAATTTGATTAACATTGAAATGGTTTATGGTCAACGTACACGATTTCCAGGATATGAACCAGATGAAAGAGAACGTCGCATAATGAGTTTGGTTTACAAGTTAAAATTGATTTATGGGATTGGAAGCGTTTTGGCGTTATTATTAATCGCGGCAAATGTTGCTGCATTTAGGTTCTTTTAGAAATCAAAAACACCATATGAAGTAAAAACATTCAATAAAGGCCAAATTTAATAAAACCCGCTTTTCGTTTCGATGTTAAAAACTCGGTGAGTTTTCAACTTGTTATTAAAAAAGTTTTCGTATCGGAAAATCGATTCAGGCCCCCCAAAATCGTGTAGTTGTCAACGACACGAATATGTTCCCCAAACCAAACATGTACACAATGACGTCTCTTCGTGTTATTCATCACGAGATTCTATGTTACGAAATTCTATTACAATAATTTTTTTTATTAGAAAGTTTTAACCTAGATAAATTAGTTTTATATGAATTTTATTTAAATCGAAAAACTGAAACATGCGATTTTTGCATTTTACACCGAATAGTTTTCATCACGCGAATTTTAAAATTTCCTATTTAAATTCTACGTACTCATCTTTTTTTTACGCATAAATAAATATCATCTTGAAATTGTTGCAAACAAAATAAAAGGAAAAAAGTTCCCCGCCACTATCTCAGAATTTAAATTGTCGAATCAACATAAATTTGATTAAACCCCCGAAAAGTCTCGCCTAGGGTGCATATATATGATATATTTACGGTTGCGTTTTCAATAAAGTCAAGTTTATTTGATGATTTTTTTTATTTTTTATTTTTTAGGTGTTCAAAATGATGATGAAGACCATAAAGGAAGGCTAAGAAATGGAAATACAGAAAAAGGTTGGTTCATTTAATTATATTTTTTTTAAACGAATGATTTATATGAACTTTTTATTGTTTCAGAGATCAAAAATCAAAAGCCAAAAACTTCGCTTCACGTTAATGCTCTACATCTACCCTGTAGATCCGAATTTGTTTGATATCAAGCGACAAATTCGGTTCTAGAGAGGTTTGTGTGGTGCATACTAAGAAACGTGACAAGAACAACCCTTATTCAGCCATGATTTGAACCAGGATAACAATCCCTCCCTATTTTTAATGTCCGCCTTTGGGGTTGAGGGTTGATTTTTGTAAAACTCCTCCCCTCATGGTGGATTCCATAACGATATATCTTTATTTAATTATATCAAAAAGTGCCATTAAAATTTTTTGAACTTGTCAGTGTTTTCTTATAAAACAAATCCATTTTTTTTCCTTGACCAGATGTTAAATCTTTCTTATTTTACGTTCACCTCAACTTTAACAGTCTCGGTTCAATTTCTGTACTTTTCATAATCCATTAATCACGATCAGTTTATCGGTAATTTGTTCCTGAAGCGAAAACCATACCCCACACTGCGTCCAGAAATGCGTTTGGGTATTGTTCGAAACCGAATTGAAAAGTCCCCATGGAGAGCGAAACAATGAACAATCCATGTCTTAAAAATTAAGAAGAAAAAGAATTTAAAATTAAAATAATTTATCGTGCAGATGGTTAATTTTAGGCACGAGACTGCAATGTGAGTACTTTAAACGCTAATGTGTGGTTTTTCAGTTTCAAAATTTCTTGTACTGTAATAATCGATAATTACGTAGTCTTATATATAACATTATAACTCCCTCTTTCGTATAACCATCGAATTAAGAACACCCATATCATACGTTTTAACTGTTTCCTCTTCAAACAGATGGCGTTACACAACAATCAAGCAACTTTATATATATATATATATATATTTCAATAACAAAATTTTTATTTGTGACCTTTAAACTTGAAGCAATTAAGTACACAGCTTGAGGAAATAGCTTACATAATAATCGATTGGAAAATGATGCTTTTCGCTTCGTGAAGTTATTCTTGGGAACTAATTTGTATACCAGATAAAAACGTCAATTAGGGAGTGCCACTTTGGTCGTGAACTGAGCTTGTCTCTAAATTGTCGTACGCATTTCAACGTACAAGACGACGATTTTGTCTCTTCTAATTATTTTACACTTACCACTAAAGATTAAAGGAAATAAAAACGTTGTGGGTAAATTTATTGCTTCACGAAATACCCAAAGTCCACTAATAATTAATAATCGTGTCAATCGGAAAACTACAGTATGTACCTATTAAAGTATAATTAAAGCCACATTATGTACTTTTACAAAGAAAAATAGAACAAGAGGAATGTTCGTTGTCCCATCAATAATTGGTGGTTTTAATAAATGATTAATTCAAAAAAATGGATTATTGAGTGTAGATTCAAAATTAAAAATTAATTTCAATTGGACGATTTCAAAAAATCGTCCTGGCTTTATTTATAATGATTAAGAAATGATTCTAGATTTATATTAAAGCTTGAAATCTCTTTTTTAAAATGATTTAGTATGGTCGACTTAAAAAAATAGTCAGAAATGATCCAAATTTAAAAATTAGTAAGATATGGTGTTCTGCGAGATGACTTAATAATTGCTAAAATTTAAAAAATCGTCCTGGCTTTATTTATAATTTTAGAGAAATGATTCTAGATTTAAATGAAAGCTTGAAATCTTTTTTTTAAAATGATTTATTATGATCGACTTAAAAAAATGGTCAGAAATGATCCAAATTTAAAAATTAGTAAGATATGGTGTTATACGAGGTGATTTAATAACTGCTAAAATTCAAAAAATCGTCCTGGCTTTGTTTATAATGATTAAGAAATGATTCTACATTTATATTAAAGCTTGAAATCTCTTTTTTAAAATGATGTATTATGATCGGGTTGAAAAAATGATCAGAAATGATTCAAAATTAAAAATTAATAAAATGTGGTGGTATTCGAGTTGAAATAAGAAATCGTAAAATTAAAAAAATCGTACTGGCATTATTTATAATGATAAAAAAATGATTCTAGATTTAAATTAAAGCTTGAAATCTCTTTTTTAAAATAATGTATAATAATCGGGTTGACAAAATGGTCAGAAATGATCCAAATTTAAAAATTAGTAAGATATGGTGTTATACGAGGTGACTTAATGATTGCTAAAATTCAAAAAATCGTCCTGGCTTTGTTTATAATGATTAAGAAATGATTCTACATTTATATTAAAGCTTGAAATCTCTTTTAAAATGATTTATTATGATCGGATTGAAAAAATGATCAGAAATGATTCAAAATTAATAAAATGTGGTGGTATTCGAGGTGAAATGAGAAATTGTAAAATTAAAAAAATCGTCATGGCTTTATTTATAATGTTAGAGAAATGATTCTAGATTTAAATGAAAGCTTGAAATCTCTATTTAAAATTGATTTATTATGATCGACTTGAAAAAATGATCAGAAATTACCCAAATTTAAAAATTAATAAGATATGGTGTTATTCGAGGTGATTTAATGATTGCTAAAATTCAAAAAATCGTCCTGGCTTTATTTATAATGATTAAGAAATGATTCTAGATTTAAATGAAAGCTGGAAATCTCTTTTTTAAAATGATTAATCATGATCTACTTAAAAAAATGGTCAGAAATGATACAAATTTAAAAATTAGTAAGATATGGTGTTATTCGATTTGACATAATAATTGCTAAAATTCAAAAAATCGTCCTGACTTTATTTATAATGATTAAGAAATGATTCTAGATTTATATTAAAGCTTGAAATCTCTTTTTTAAAATGATTTATTATGATCGGGTTGAAAAAATGGTCAGAAATGATACAAATTTAAAAATTAGTAAGATATGGTGTTATTCGATTTGACATAATAATTGCTAAAATTCAAAAAATCGTCCTGACTTTATTTATAATGATTAAGAAATGATTCTAGATTTATATTAAAGCTTGAAATCTCTTTTTTAAAATGATTTATTATGATCGGGTTGAAAAAATGATCAGAAATGATTCAAAATTAAAAATTAATAAAATGTGGTGGTATTTGAGGTGAAATGAGAAATCGCAAAATTAAAAAAATCGTACTGACATTATTTATAATGATAAAGAAATGATTCTAGATTTAAATTAAAGCTTGAAATCTGTTTTTTAAAATAATGTATAATAATCGGGTTGACAAAATGGTCAGAAATGATACAAATTTAAAAATTAGTAAGATATGGTCTTATTTGAGGTGACATAATGATTGCTAAAATTCAAAAAATCGTCCTGGCTTTATTTATAATGATTAAGAAATGATTCTAGATTTATATTAAAGCTTGAAATTTCTTTTTTAAAATGATTTAGTATGATTGGGTTGAAAAAATGATCAGAAATGATTCAAAATTAAAAATTAATAAAACATGGTGAAATGAGAAATCGTAAAATTAAAAAAATCGTCATGGCTTTATTTACAATGTTAGAGAAATGATTCTAGATTTAAATGAAAGCTGGAAATCTCTTTTTTAAAATGATTAATTATGATCTACTTAAAAAAATGGTCAGAAATGATACAAATTTAAAAATTAGTAAGATATGGTGTTATTCGATTTGACATAATAATTGCTAAAATTCAAAAAATCGTCCTGACTTTATTTATAATGATTAAGAAATGATTCTAGATTTATATTAAAGCTTGAAATCTCTTTTTTAAAATGATTTATTATGATCGGGTTGAAAAAATGATCAGAAATGATTCAAAATTAAAAATTAATAAAATGTGGTGGTATTCGAGGTGAAATGAGAAATCGTAAAATTAAAAAAATCGTCATGGCTTTATTTATAATGTTAGAGAAATGATTCTAGATTTAAATGAAAGCTGGAAATCTCTTTTTCAAAATGATTAATCATGATCTACTTAAAAAAATGGTCAGAAATGATACGAATTTAAAAATTAGTAAGATATGGTGTTATTCGAGGTGACTTAATGATTGCTAAAATTCAAAAAATCGTCCTGGCTTTATTTACAATTTCAGAAAAATGATTTTAGATTTAAATGAAACCTTGAAATCTCTATTTAAAATTGATTTATTATGATGGACTTCAAAAAATAGTCAGAAATGATACAAATTTAAAAATTAGTGAGATATGGTGTTATTCGAGGTGATTTAATGATTGCTAAAATTCAAAAAATCGTCCTGGCTTTATTTATAATGATTAAGAAATAATTCTAGATTTATATTAAAGTTTGAAATCTCTTTTTTTAAATGATTTATAATGATCGGGTTGAAAAAATGATCAGAAATGATCCAAATTTAAAAATTAGTAAGATATGGTGTTATTCGAGGTGATTTAATGATTGCTAAAATTCAAAAAATCGTCCTGGCTTTATTTATAATGATTAAGAAATGATTGTAGATTTAAATGAAAGCTGGAAATCTCTCTTTCAAAATGATTAATCATGATCTACTTAAAAAAATGGTCAGAAATGATACAAATTTAAAAATTAGTAAGATATGGTGTTATTCGATTTGACATAATAATTGCTAAAATTCAAAAAATCGTCCTGGCTTTATTTATAATGATTAAGAAATGATTCTAGATTTATATTAAAGCTTGAATTTTTTTTTAAATGATTTTTAATAAAATGATCTGAAATAAACCAAAATTAATAATTAGTAAGATATGGTGTTATGCGAAGTGAAATGAGAAATTGTAAAATTCAAAAAATCGTACTGGCTTTATTTATAATGATTAAGAAATGATTCTAGATTTAAATAAAAGCTTGAAATGTCTTTTTTAAAATGATTTATAATGATTTAGTTGATAAAATTATCCGAACTGATTCAAATTTAAAAAATTGTAAAATTTCGCATTGTTCGAGACGAAACAATAAATTATAATATTCAAAAAATCGTTCTGGTTTTGTTTATAAACATAAAAAAATGATTGAAACCTTGAAATTTAAACATTAAAAACGATTTTATCATAAAACCATAAACAACGACAGAATTTTGTGGTTTCGTCTCTTTTTTGCAACCGGACGTGTTTCTCGTGAAACTGTCAGATGTCGTCGCGACGTCCTCGAAAAGAGAGTATGGTTTCCCCCCAAAGATTCTTGAAGGGTAGATACGCCCGAAGAGAGCTCGTTGCTTCTTTCCTCTTCTTCTTTCTCTTTGGAGGTCCCCCCATTTTTTTTTCTCCTCTTTCTCTGGGAAAACTTTGTTGTTCCGTAGCTGCTGCGCTCGGCCGACTTGCGCCATTAATCATTCGGCTAAGTTTCGTAGAGACTGAGTGACGTACCTCCCCGTTTCCCTGCGCGTCCCGCTAAAACCCCCCCTCGC